TGGTAGGCCACAAGCCTCGTGGTAAAATATAAAATAATGGAAAGGGGTAAAATTAAGATGTAAAAGTTAGCCAATAAGAAGTTAGAGCTAATAGGCCAAGCAGTGATTTAATTAATACAGTTTCTGTGTGGTTATTTCAGTTCTAGGCATCTGGGATAAACAGGAAGCCTTTTACAACAGGGAAACCTTAACTTTACAAAAAAGATTTTTCATTGTTTCCCTGGCAAACTTAGTTATATAGTTGATCATTCATGTGCTTCTAATTATTTATGTAAGTGGCATATAAGTTAGTTAACTCAAATCTGAATTCTTATTATGTCAGTGTTGACTTATAAAAAGAAACAAATAGTGATGTTGGTGAGTTATAATTCATTAGGTCCTTCATCCAAATCCCAGATTCTTTATGGTATGAGGGCTACCTCATGCCATTTTATTACAGTTAAGTTCTAATAAATTAAAAACAAGAATAACAATTGCTACCTGAATGTTTTATATTCAGTCTACCCTTATTGAACTTCTGACACATATCAAGCCTGTGGGTGGAAGAGCTATACTATTAAAACATGCCTTCCAACACATTAGACTTGTGACATGATTATTTTCAATCTAATAATAACCATGTAGGAACATCTAAGCCAATTTATTCCAATTTAAGGAAAGACACCGTTGGATCCTCAAAGAAACAGTAAAAGGTCCCCACAATTAATTCCTGTGCTGTATTTACTCAACCTTATATGCATACCTGAATCACTCTGACAACTGTTTACTTTTCAACAACCAGACACATCCAGGCAATGCAGACATAGCCTGCATCGAATTAGAAAACCATGAGAGGACAAGATGGACTTGACAGCTCATCTGAAAGGAGCAGTGAAAAATGACAAGTTCCCAAAGACAGACTGACAGGGGTGAGGGAGGGAGAGGTTCTCATCTTAGGGAGCAGGAACAAACACGCTGAGGTAAAACTGGAGCCGAAGGGAACGGAGTGTTTGCAGATTATGTGATCATGTCTTCTTTTAGATTTGTTTTAATTTCAAGAGAAACGTGAAGCACAGCATGAAAATCAACAAATGCTGTTTGTGTCTTAAAAAAAAAACAGGGAAAAAAAGCAAAACAAAGGATTTATCAAGATGGGTTTCTTTCCAAGTGGATTCCATATGGGTAGGGCAGGACTGTGGAGACTCCAAGAAAGAGCACTAACCTGGATAAAGCTGAGCTCAAGGGAATGGGTTTCTAAGGGTTTTGTCTTCAGACTTTATTTGGGTAGCTCATTCCAGGGTCTCTGCTTCTCTAGTTTAGTATTTATGTTGTTGAAACAGCCAGAAGTTTCTTTGGGTTACCAACAAAGAAGTTTTCTATTATTTTAAGAAATATTTTAAGAGGTACATCTACACCAGCAGAAATTTGGGTTACTTATTGTGCTCCCCTCCCCAGACCAGTAGTTCCAAACCAGTGGGTCATGACTCCTTTGGAAATACACTGTCTCCAAAAATACTTACAGCCGGGCAGTGGTGGCACACGCCTTTAATCCCAGCACTCAGGAAGCAGAGGCAGGCGGATCTGTGTGAGTTCGAGGCCAACCTGGTCTACAAAGGGAGTTCCAGGACAGGCTCCAAAGCTACAGAGAAACCCTGTCTCAAAAAACCCCCCAAAAAAAGAAAGAAAAGAAAATACTTGCATTACAATTAAAACAGTACAAAATTATAGTTATGAAGTAACCAGGAAAATAATGGCACAGTTGAGGGTCACCACAACATGAGGAACTGTATTAAAGGGTCTTGGCATTACAAAGATTGAGAAATGTTACTCCAGACTATTTTCCTTACCATCACTGAGGTTCCCAAAATGTCAAAAGGCAGTAAATATTAAGTCACTGTCATTTTACATATCAAAAGACACACAAAAAAATCTATGTTTGCTCACTCTAAGTAAATAAAATCTTCGCTACCTTTATGTCCTAACTGTTCTTGCTCTTTATGCTTTTATTGATACAAAAGGAAAAACACCCTAGGGAGATGAAATTTGAAGAGGACTGGCAAGTTTTTAAACCCGCAGTTTATGGAGGCATGTTAAAGGAGAAGGGCTTGCTGTGGGCATTTATCATATATTCTGAAACAAAGATCTGTTCTTTGTTCCTGGTTGTTGTCATCGAATCCATTGGAGTATCCTTGGTGATGATATTGCTTATCAGATGACCTGAGAATTTGGGGTAAGGGAGTGGGACCTAGCCCTAGGATGGCAGCAGCTTGCTCAGAAACTGGATCAAGGGATAAGATTAGTATATTCTGCCAACCTCCTATTTCTGCATAGGAGAGAGAGGTTGCAAACTGAGTTCTACCACAGAAACCCCAAGTGAAGGGTCTGGTAAATTTCTGTGTTAGTAATAATAGAAAATAAATAGTGAAGGTTCTCAGTTAATTGTTAATAACAGCTCTGAGATATACAAATATAGTATATTCTGCATTTTTAGTTGTGAGCCTAGTCTTTAATGGCTGAGCCATCTCTCCAGGCCTAAAAATTATTCTACGTCCCCATATCTAGTTAGTATATTTACCATGTAAACATATTGAACATAATAATTTAATATTTATATTAACATTTAATCAAAACAATAAACAGAAGCCTGACTTCAAGCCCCAGGTGGTAACCCTTAGGGAGTCCATCCATCAGAGCTACGTAATGCCCAGCCTCTCCAGAGTAGATTCTTCTCTTGGTCATCTGTCCTGTCTCACAGCTTCCTCCAACACCTGACACTGTATTGGCTGTGAAGAAATAAGTCATAATTCCTTTCCCCAGATATAGTGTTTTGTAATCTTCCTTTGCTCTAGCTTCCACAGACATTCTATGTTTGCTGCTGGTGGTTGTGGAACTTGTCCCAGGACTTGGTACTTTTCTGATTAAGACTATTACCACCTCAGTGGACCTGTTTATGCCAGAGATACCTTAGGTTTGGGAGAGAGCTGGGTAAGGGACTGTCACCTTTTCCTCATTGCTTTGCGATGAGCATCTCTTCTATGCTATACTAGAATAACATTGGTAGCAAGCAGAGCACACTTCCAAGTGCTATGAGCCATTTTCACTATCAGACTCGGGTTGGGTCTGTGGCCCCAAACACCTGAGAAGCATGAGCAACACCTGAAGCCTGATTTCTTGGTTCCTGCTGATATCCAAGGCAGAGCTATCTTGGGTGATTCAGTCTATATCTTCTGGGGACCTTTCTAAGGTGAAACACTAGCGTCAGAATTGTGTTGAGTCAGTAGGATGTCCCATTGGAATCAGGGAGTAGGAGAATTACGTGTTTTGGGAAAGGATGCAATGTGTGTGTGAGAAGGAGTCTCCAGAATTGAACAACAAAACACCGAATGCAACAAGATAAAAACCACGTGTCTAGATGGAATAGATCTGTGTTCTAGAAAAGGCTTTTCTGGATCTGTAAATGGTGAGGTTTCCCACCATTCTACAAGGGATAAAAAAAACTGTTTGAATGAATCAATGTTTCTTTTAGAGGTGAGAAAAAGCAAGTTATAACTTAGTTGAATTTCAAAGGGTAACTCGAATATTTTTAAAAGACTGGATGGGATGCAAATAAAAAAGGACATGGTAATTGCAATTATCACAGAGATTGTTAATAAAAACATCTTGGAACTACAGTGTCATGCACCATTTGTCAATCCTGACTCATAAATTACATGTCTTCCGGCTGTATCTAATGGACCTTACCGATCGTCTTTAGATAGATACTGGTGAGTCTCTCTCTCTCTCTCTCTCTCTCTCTCTCTCTTCCTCTTCCTCTCCCTCTCCCTCTCCCTCTCCCTCTCTCTCTCTCTCTCTCTCTCTCTCTCTCTCTGTCTCTTTCTCTATCTCCCTCCTTCCCTTCCTCCCTCCCTCCCTTCCTCCCTCCCTCTCTCTCTCTCACTCTGGGGAGGGGGGCAAAGAGGAGGGAGAGAGCAGGTTTGGGAGTGATCATCAACCACTGACCTTAAATTATTCCATTAAGTTTAACAGTTTTCAAGTGAGTGAAAACAGGCTGCTGCGTGGAAGTTTTTCAGTTTTTAGGTTGTAACAAATCCAGAGTGAGAGTTGGAATTCTAGATGAAACAGCAGGAACAGCACTTCTGTACACCACAGTAAATTATCCATGAACTTAGTGGGCTTTCTCCCCGAAAACGGACCTGCATAAAGGCAACACTCCTGCCCTCTATAATCAGAGGTGACAGCTGGCCTGTGCTGACATTTTTGCAGGAACATATTCGGAAGCAAAACGTCCCGTGATTATTACAGAACGTCGACTTTCATTTTTTTTTTCAGGGTCTAGTGGGAAGCTGCACCTAAAAGATGCCCAGTGGTGGGTGAAAGAAACCCCATTCCATCAGAACTCCAGACTGCGTTTTCCCCCAAGCAGCTGGCAGTTTGCCACATTGCAGACATCTGAAACACTGAGTGATATTTAAAAACGGATCTAGTTCTTAGCTGACGTGTTGATACCAGGAAGGGAAAACATTCAAATATCAAGCAAAGAAGCTGGCAATATTTAAACATACAATGTAGAGTTTCTAATTTCTGCCCCCAACCTTTTCCACTCCATTGGAATAGTGTCTAAAACTTTCAACAGGTGTTCTTTCATTTTATGAAAAAATCCGTAACTCTGCACACAGTAGAAGTAAACATTTTACTCGTCCTTTGGCACTTTAACATAAAATTTAAAAATATTTCAAATAACTCACGGCTTGTCCGTAACTGCATAGAGCTCTGGTAAAAATAAAATATCTTTCAGTTCGTTCAGCACCAGCTGGCTAAATTTAAACCCTGCATTATGCAATCTGAAAGCGTCCTTGCTTTTGCACCGTGTCTTAGGAGATTCTCGTCTAATGTCAGTCACTTCCAAATCGCTTCAGTCTCTTAACACCTAAACACAGCACAACAGGACCAAATTAAGGTGTTCACAGGCAATTGGAGACAGAAAAAAACATCCATTTGAAAGTGGATATAGGGCATGATACCTTCAAAGCACAATCTCCCTCTCCTCTATTGGAGTTTGTGGCTGCTGTAATTAGGGCTGGCAGATCCAACTGGCAGTGCTTTTCTTAATTCTGAAAAACATGTAAGAACCTGATTCTTTAATCTTTACTCCAGTAAGACTCCAGGAAAACATAAGCCCACAGCTAGAGCAAAAACCACAAAATCAAACTACGTCTTGGAAAAAATAACTTTCCTACCCTTCTCTGAGCATGCTGAAGCAGTTGAAAGTAGTTCAGACTTTTCCTGCCCCTCATTAGATTCCATGAAATATCATTCATATTTCTTTATTTTTTAATTTAAAAGACAAACCTTTTTTTTCAGTTTCCCTTATGGCCTTATTATTCCTTAATAGTAAACACAAAAGTAATTTATTGTAAAGAAATTAACACATGAGGTCCTCAATTTCATATCCAACAATGCTGCCCACAATCATAAGAACAAATCCAAACTGCTCAGGTTCCTTTATAATGATGACAAATGACTTTTAGATTTCACTGCACTTCGGTGATAGACTATGTTATAACCTTGGTACACACACAGGACTATATCACACATACCTTTGTACCAGAGTCCACCCTAACTCCGCGGCGATGCTCTATAGACTCACAACACTTCACTTAGCAGGCTCCCTCCACTTTCACGTACAGCCAATTTCCCAGTCCCCTGAAAGCTACCAGCAGAGTGGAGACCAGCTCCACTGAAGTCAATGAAGCAAGGAGATGGGGCCGGTGAATTTATTTTAGCCCTGTGTCCAAAGGATGCAACTTAGCACCTATTTTTAGGAACTGAGCTCTGTATAGGTGGGGCTTGAGTCAACCACTCTTTTCAGAAGTGAGTCTTTGAGGGCATGCTGCTTAGTAGTGTCCAGGACAATGTATGCGTGGCTCTCACACACGTGCCGTCAATCACGCTGCCTTCTGCAGCCCCTACCACAGCGAAGTCTGAACTCCCCGACATAGTATAAGAAATAAATTATGAAAAAGGTGGAACGATTATAGCCTTCAATTGCTTCCATATAAAGATAGCTTTACTTATCTAAGAGTTAAGGATATGAAAATAAAGCGACAGGAAATAAATGCTATCTATTCTGTTGGGATAGTGATAATTAACTTGGGTCCTTTGGAGGCAAAACCTTATTTTTTTTTTTAATTTTCCTTTGTATGAGAGGTAGGCTTTCCCTGTGTGAAATGGGCTATTAAGGAATTTGGGATCTTTCTACCTCAGTTTCAGGAGGCTGGAATTACAGAGGAATAAACCTGGGACCAAGAACGAACATTTGTTTTTAATTTTTAATTTACATACTCTTGATAGGTAATTTTTTCAAGTCTTCACTCATAAATCAAAACCATACTGCAATGTTTAGAAGTAAAGAGGGATCTTTATTTATTTCTTTTTCTTTTTGGTGGCAGAGGATAAGGAAGAAAGGAATGAGAGGCTTTGTAGAAAGAATAAACAAACAAACATATTATTAGACTTAAATTATATGGCACAAGGAAGAGTAGACAGGAAAAAAAAGTCATCGCACATGCTCCTGAGATAATTCGATTTAACACCCATTGCTACCATCCTACTGTCTCAGCCCACCCTGCCAGCCTAGCTGGAAATGGATAGAAGTCAACTAGTCTTGCTTTTCAGATCCCTTCAGCTCCTTGCTGCCAGCGTCTAACACATTCTAAGTCAATATAAACTACCCAGCTCAACAGCCATTCATCTCTTCTGTAACTTCCCTCGAGTGGTGCCCTCTCTGTATCCAGCTGGCTTCCCAACAAACCCAAATAAGGAAATTGTCCCCCAACTTGAAGAAAGCATCTTCCTGACACAATGCTTATTACATCCAAAATACAAGCAAGCGTCTAACCACAGTGTGTTCAAGGAAGAGCAGCACGTGTTTTTTCATATACAATATTAGTTTTCATTTAAAGGTATTATAAGTAGTGATACTGAGGTTTATTAACCCTGAAAAGTTTACTAAATTGTACTGAATATCCATAAGATTTGTCAGTGTAATCTATTTCAAGTTTTACTGATGAACATGGTGGCCATTGCTAGACATGAGGTCATTTGAATATTATAAGATGAATGTTTAATTGGATTTTTAAAATTCAGTTTCTCAGTTGTACTAACTACATTTCAAGTTTCTTGTCGCCATTTGTGTCATGTGGTTTTGCACTGAGAATGCTGGTGTCACCTAGAAAGTTCTGCTGGACATTGTTCCTGTCACACTGGGTCTCAGCACAGTTTATACAAACTGTGTTCTGTTTTGTTACCTGAACAAGTTCCACATCCTTATACATTCTGACATATTCATTTTTGACTAAATTAGAGTAAGTTCAAGAAACTTTGTATGGTTGTTGCCAAGATTAAATGAAACAATTGATTAATTAGTACATTCATAATATTACTACTCCAGTGTAATATTTCTCAGTAAATTATGTCAATGCAGTATATTCATATTCATAAAAATGACAGTAGTTCTAAAATTATAATAATTATGAGATGGGTCTTAAAATATAAATGAGGTATACTTTATTCTCTTTATTTATTTATTGATGACTAATGATACACTTTTGAAGTAGGGTAAATTGTTCAAATATCTGATGTCTGCTTCATCATCTATCTTACTCAGTCACACTCTTTTTTTTACTTTAGTGACTAATTTCTTGATTGATTCTTCAAGTTTCATTTACAATGATCTCCTCTCAAAATTTAAAATTTATACCTTTGACTTTCAAGGAAGATGTTTCTGATTTGAATACATATATAACAAAAGAAGAAATAATGATTAAAATTGATATATTTAGCATGGTATCAATACTGTACATTATATGTTGTATTGAAGTATCATATGGTATCCATTAATAGTACAATGTTTATATTTATATACATTAGTTAAATTAATTTAATTAAAATTTTTAAATGAGCCAAGGAAGTTAACACATACATTACTTGAGGTGGTTAGAGATGGCAGACAAGTTTGTGAAAGAGACTTCACACCATTTTCCATTAGGAAAATGCAGGTAACAACCGTTGGGTGTGATTATATAACAGTTAGGAAAAACTGGTATATCCAGTACATAAAAAAAAAAAAACAAATGTCTTCATAGATTCATTGTGTGGGGAAACCTCATCCACTGCTGGTAACAGTGCAAAAGGAAGAGCCATTGTGGAAGATGCTTGGTGGATGCTTATAAAAAACCTATCATGTTATTACTTGTTGCCCAGTATGGAGTTAAAACCCCACTTCTACTAAAAAACCTGCACATACAGAACTTAGTGTCAAGTTATCTGTTTTTCATTAGATCAATAACATTTGGTACAGTTAGAAATGAGAGTACTTCCCAGTGCTACAAAGTTATTGAGGAAAACAGATTTTAAATCTACTGTGAACATCTTAAGTTTTTAAGGGTTAGGGCTGAAATAGAGGCTCTTTCTCAATGACACCATACTAGTGAATATGTTCTTTTATACACCTGCCAATCCCAGTGAATCAATATTAAAGTATAGGCTTTATGTGATCAAAGTGTGTCAGTGTGGGTTCATCAAAATTATAATAAATGTTCTATTCTGTTTGAGGACATTGATGATGAAAAGGTCTATGCACAGAGAGGTAGACACAAAATTTCATGCATTCTTTTTCAGTTTTGTTATGAATCTAAAACCTTTCTAAGAGGAATCCATTGATGCTTCACAAGAAAATTCATATATGTTCTTATTTCTGTAAATTTTCCTTAAGAATAACATTGGACCATTTAAAGGGGTTATGACTTAGATTTGATTGTGTTAATTGTATTTATTTCCTCTTGCTCTCAAAAGAAAACACATTCACACTTATTATTTCCTATAAAACTGAGGATTAGGAAAGTTAAATAACCTTTTTGAAGATAAAAATTAATTGTAAGCAGAAAATGGGCTGCTGCTTAATGCTGCTGGTTCCCTAGGTTCACATTTTTAGAGACACTATTTATCCAGCCTATAATTTAAAAGTTCCAATCATTATTATATGCCATGGTAATAAGCTTTGAGTGGGACAAAACCTTTCCCATATTAATAAATGCCAAGATATAGGCTCAGTGCATGCCAGCAATAGCTAGGCTCTAAATGCAGGGCATCAACGTAAGCTGCTGGGGCATTCCACAGACAGGAGGGGCCTGATTTAAAGTTGTGCCAGCTATATTTCAGTTACCATATATGTAACTTCTGGACCAAAGGGGCCCACCTAACAACTGTATAATTAGAATAAATAATTTACTACTCAGTATATATAAAATACTTGCTTGCCATTAGGACTAGAAATCTGCTTTGACTAGTATAGGTGTCAAAGTACCCCATCTAAGTATTTCTTGAGCAGGACTAATAAAATATATGATAAATTTATTTTTCTTAGTAAAATAAATTGCGGCTGAATTAGATTAATTACAACCCTTACCTATTAAATTTTAATTACATTAAAAGCATGTCATGATATTAAGGATGCATGAGAAGGTCATTATGTATATATGACTCATTTAAAACATATCTCATAATCTGTGGAGGGTGATGATGTACTTGACAATGCAAACCAGGGGACTTCAGAGAGTGAAATCAACACTATTAATAACTATGCGTATACACAGTGTAAGCTGGGGCTGTCTGGGGCAAAGACATCTGCAAACACTTGAGTAATAAGCCAAATGTAGATCCTCTTGACTCACCCTGTGAGCACACATTGAGGGATTTTCAAATGATGTGTTTTTCAATATAAAACAATAAATTAAAAATAGTTTTTGCATTGAGAACTTCATTGCAGATCATCTCTATCCTTTAAACTTGATTGTGTATCAATTTTCTAATGAAGAATGAAAGAACTTTAGAGAAAAGAAAGAATATGTTGGGGAATTTTCTTAGTTAAAAATGACAAGAAAAATACATGCTGGGTGTATTTTTATTGACAACCAATTAAAACTGAAAAAAGGGACTCATTTAGTCTCTTGGATTGCTTGAGACAGAGGCAGAGACAGAAAGGGGCAGATGCAGGGTTATGGCAATATAATTATATAAAAATATTTCGTACATTCAAAGAAGAGTTGAACTTTTTCTGGCTTTCACAGTCTAGTTCATAACATATCTTAAGATCATTTAGACTTTACCGATATCCTGCTGTGTGCGCTGTCTGTTTGTTTAATGTGCTTTTAAGGGAACACCATAAAAACCAAACTTACTTCTTACTTCCCTTTGGTTTCCCATAAATGCTCTTTATAACCTAAGTTAATATAAAGCTTTAGTTTTTATGTACTCTTCCATATCCTGGTGCAGAGAGATGTGTGTGTTATGATAAGCATTTGGTAAAAAGAGCAAATGGAGTGAAAAACAAAGTTATTCAATAAATATCTGCCCCAAATGGTAAAAGCAGCATAGAAACATAGCACGGAAGTGTATGTTTCATGAATGCTTTGGGATCGGTTGGAGAAAGTAACTTAATCCTTTGTAAAACTATGTGAAATGTTTTGCAAACTGTTTCCCCATTTCTTCTTCATGACATATTTTATGTGATGGTCAATCATTACAGAGGAAGGCTCTTTGTTAGAGGCAGC